CTTGAGTTAATAGCCAACAAACATTGGCGAATCAAGGGGTCTAGCCGGCCTACGCCGCCTGGTACCTCTAGTTCTCAAACAAAAGTGACGGCGACTGAGTAACTCCAACGTTAACTCATAGTCACTCCCTCAAATTTTGTATGGAACCTAAAAGGTTTGAGTCGTTCGCCTGTTTTTAGCAAACAGGGGCACTCAAACCCCTATTCCTACTAGGTCACCTATTGAGTTAATAGCCAACAAACATTGGCAAATCAAGGGGATCAACCGGCCTCCGCCGCCTGGTACCTCTACTACTCAATCTAGATTGTGACGAAGACTAAGTAACTCCTATGTTAACTTAATAGTCACTCAAACTTAGTATGGAGCCTAAAAGGTATGAGTCGTCTGCTTGTTTTTAACAAACAGGTGCTCTCAACCACTACTCTTGCTAGGTTAACAAATTATGAGTTAAAAGACAACATTGGCAATAAAGGGAAACAACCGGTACCCGCCGCTTGTTATCTCTACTACTCAATTCCTTGGCGACTAGGTAATACTCTATTTACTTGGTCAGACCACTTTCCTACTTGGTTAAATTTCCAAATGACAGGACCGCCTGCCTAAAAAGGATCCAGACCTTAAAATAGTTCGAATACTGATTGGATAAATGGCCGACTGATCGTCTATCCTGGAAACAGACAACCAGTCGTCCAGGGGCATAGGCGGCGTACTAACTCTCTGTACCTGTCTGCAACGTTCGGCCATGTGAAACAGTCGGTCTAGTGAACAATTGGATATTAGATATGGAATACTTAGACAAATTTGAAGCAAAACAAAAATTCATTAAAAATAAGCCGGTCATTAAAGACCAGAAAAATATTCAAAGCCCCGGCCCCCTGGCCGGGTAAATACAAAGCAAACGGCACGCAGGCCGTGGAAAGAATACATAAAGCTTAAGAAGGGGGCAGTTCAGTATTAGCAGCTGCCGCCTGGTCAGCACTCTTCTTGCTGGACTCGGCTTCAGCTGCATCCTTTTTTGATGCCTTACCCCAAGCGGCACAAGCGCCACTACCGGCTCCTCCTCCTCCTCCAACGCTTCTCCCAACGCCTCTTCTTCAGCAGCCGCCAGGATCTCTTGATTATATGTTTCCGAACACTGGCGATACGTTCTTTCCCAAGAGGCAAAGTCGGCACTGGGGAAGAGGCAGCCCCAGGTCATGCGCTGGATTTGAGCGGAGTCTTCCATCATCTCCCGGACCAGCTCTTTCTTCTCTTGCTCGGCCTTTTCCGAGAGCTCTTGGGTAAGACTCTTCTCTTGGCTCACCAGGCGTTCTTTTACGCTGGCCAAGGATTTCTCCATGGCTTCGTAAGAGTACATTTTTAGGCGAAGAGGTTTCAGCTCGGCCTTAAGATTTGTGATGGTCGCCTCCAGCTCGTCATTCTTCTTCTGGGCCGCCTCTAACTGAGCCCGAACAGCGGCGGTAGCCTGCGCCTGATAATAAAGAATATCAATGTTCAGTACTTCATTTTAGGCAATTTGAAACATTGCCTTATAACAGTCAGAGGCGGCCATAGCTTTTGCAGCCTTTACCTCTTTGTTCTTTTGATCAAGCGGCTTGCGAAGGCCGTTAACTCGGAGCAGGGCCTAAGTACAAAAAAACAGGCGTCAGTTTCCAAACAAAAAATAAAACAGGCGTCCAGAAATTCAAATACTCAAAAATATGCTAAGTATACCTCAGCAAGGACCCCTGCAATCCCGTCAAGGTCAAGGGTGCCGACACCCGTGACCGTCTCCCTTTCAGTTGGAGGAACTGCCCTGATCATAGAATTGGCCATCTCTACCAAGTCAGGCTCCTGGGGGCCGGCTGCATCAAGCATAAACAAACGGATTAGACTTAGTAACAATGGGAGCAAGTCTAAAATTTACAAGGACAACTTCATACCTCTAGGCGGCCCAGTTGGAGTTTTAGAGGAAGTGGCCGGCTATTTCTCAGCCGCCACCTGTTTCCTGGCAGAACCAGGAGAGCTCCCAACAGTCGTCTTCCGGGACTTGGGGTCCGGCTGTTGAGAAGATGAAGCTCTTGGAGCACCCGTCTAAAAAAGAAGAAAAAAGTCAGTATATGCATAAACACTCCAAAAAGAGGGTGAAAGGTTCGGAGCTCACCAAGGGTGCCCCCTTCTTGGGGGAGTCGTTTGAAGCTTGTTGCATAATAGAGGCCCGCAACATGGCCGCCGCAGTCTTGGAGGCGGTGATTTTGCTCATGGCGTCAGCTGCAAAAACAAACATCAAAGTTAATAAAAGATAAACAACAAATGTATGAAACAACAGAGTATTCGACAGGCCGACTACCTCTTGAGCACCGACAGCTGAGGCCGTAGGCGGCCAAAAAGTACTCGTCATAGAGCCACTTGAAGCTCGGGACGCAGTGCAGGGGTACTTGCTCTCGTACCCCTGAAGTAGAGTCGACCCTCGACTCTACTTTAAAGAGTCCTTTATCAAGGATCTCTTTCTTAGCCTTGGGGGGAACAGGCGGCATGCTACGGCCGCCTGCAAGAAGGGGCGGATTCTTGTTCCACCTATTGAAGCGCTTGTTCTGCTCAATTTCAGAACTCTCAATGATGAGGAAGGTGCTCCGCCAGTCCTTCCACTTGTTTGCTTTACCTCTTGTCATGAGGTAGCCCCTGTGGCTTGTCAATTGATACCAGCCGGTACCGCCTGTCTTAGGGGTCCGGCTGAGATAGTTCATATGGGCGAAAGCCTCGAAGCTCGGCTCCACCCCGTGCAGTTCGCACGCGGCCACATAGCCGAGTACGTTGACCCAGGAGTTTGGGGCTAACTGCCATAACCCCAACTCATACCCATCCAAAATCCGCTGAACAGTCGGATGAAATGGGAAGCGAAGCCCTGCCTTGATGGCCGCCTCGTAGCAGCCAAAGCAGGAGCTTTCATAACTGGAACCAGCCGGCCAGACGACTGTGTCTTGTGGATCCGGCACAAACACTAGAAAGTCGGGGCCCATGGTGTGGTTTGCAATAAAGCTCTCCACTTTCTCTTGCATGGCTGTGATTCGGCCCCGAGGTACCGTGCAGTAGTAGGGGGTATTTAGCTCTCGGTAAGAGGCGGATGGTTCCGCCCAATTGTCCCCCTTCTCAACTGCGTGAGAAAGTCTCGCCTCTTGCAGGCGGCTGTTTTTCTCTTCTGTACCCAAAGAAGCATGGCCAGAAGAGCTTGACTCGGAATCGTCCTCCGACGAGTCTGAAGAGGACGACTCATCCCCTCTCCCGGAGGGGCCCGCCTCCTCTCTTTGAAAAGGAGCAGATTTGTTAACTGTTAAATGGGAAGGGGTCACTATGACTCCCCCCACAGAATTGCCGGCATCCAGGCCGCCTTGTTTCACTTCCACATCTGGCGCCTGGTCAGATGTTTCACTAATCGGCACCCTGTGGGAGGAGCCGTCCGAATTTGAGATCCTAGCTGTCTTTTTCGTTCTGGCCATCCTGCTCTGCATAGACACAGATACAGTCGGACTTTGTATAAAGGGCAAAGATGGGTCCGGAAAAGGGCAGGCGGCACTCCTAGTCCTAGATTCAGCCGTCCCCGGTGACCGGCTGATCACTAATCTAGGTCGTGTCGTGTGCTTCCGTGGTGCCATTTCAGAAAATAAAAAGAAAATTAAGAGTAAGAGAACTGAGTTACCTGAACGAGTGACGGTTGATGAAGTTCTGGAAATCCGGTGCAGGCGGCTTGTCAGAACAGGCGGTAGGCTGAAAAGGTCCAAAATGTCAGAGCAAGTTCAGGGGTCCGAATGTTCTCAAATAGTTCTCAAAGTGTGAAAATGACTCAAGGCAACTCTCCCTTATATAGGCAAAGTGAGAAGGCGAAGGGTCACTTTCAGAATTCAAAATTTGGGCGGGAAAATCTCTCGTCCTTTCGCCAACTGACACCTGTAGCAGGCCGTCGCCTGTTACAGTGCGACACCTGTCACAGGTAACACGTGACCAATCACGTGCCACCTGTGAGGGGCAAATAATTAGGGGATTTTGCTCCCACCAATCGGAATGCGCCACGTGGACCAATCAGGTCCTGCCAAGTGTCCCCTAGTTGGAACAGCCAGGGCTTCCCACGTGGCACGCGCTTATTCGTCCACCTTGGACCTGTTATGTCACGACATGTGGCATACTCCATGCCTAATGGAGAAACCGGCCACCCAGGCCCAACTTCCGAGGGAAGCCCAATCGGCCCTAGGTTAACCTAAACCTAGGATGGGCACGTTTTCCAAGGTTATAAATACCTCCCTTAATCCTCATTAAGGGAGATTACAAGAAGAACACAGGAACATTACGGAAAAAACACATTAATTACACAGTAATAACCGGCTGATCTCGCTAACAAAGCAGATTACCTACGTTAATCACTCTCACCTAGAGAGACCTAATCACTTTAATTTCCGCATTAATTACTCCTTAATCAGGTACTAACTTGACCGTTGGAGGCGGAGCTCACAGGAGTCTCCGTTATTTTGCAGGTACAGGCGTCCGGTTCCAGTCTCGGAATTGTAACTCTCCCGCAGGACATCAGAAAACCCCGAAACACCATGGGAGAAAATCAAGACTTGAGGACAGCTTTGGAAGCTCTTAATCGATCCATTGCTAGTCAAGAGAGGTTGGCCAAAACCAACGCCAATCTACAAGGGAACCTTGCTGCCTTGATGGCAAGGCTCATGAACGAGCATGATAGGAGAGATCAAGGCGAAGACCCTCCACCTAGGAGGGAAGATAGGAGTCTCAAAGTGGACGTCCCTGCCTTTGATGGGACACTTGATCCAGAAAAGTACTTGGAATGGGAGAAATCCTTGGAGAGGTATTTCGATTATAAGGACATTCAAGAGGAGTTCCAAAAATACAAGATAGCCAAGGTGAAGTTAAAAGGCTATGGAGATAACTGGCTACAAGGAGAGCAAAGGGGACGTACTCTTAGGGGTAAGGCATCCATTTCTACTTGGAGCAAGTTAAAGAAAAGGATGAGGGATCGCTTTATTCCTCACAATTTCAAGCAAAGTCAATATGTGAAGTGGAGCACTTTGCAACAAAATGGAGAATCGGTTGAGGACTACATCAAAGAGTTTGACAGACTTTCTATTGTGTGTGAAATCACGGAGAATGAAGAACTCAAGATGGGACGTTTCGTGGCTGGGTTGGATCAAGAGTTGCAAGACAAACTTGAAGGTTACACCAATTTAACCTTTGCTGAAGCTTGCAAATTTGTGATCAAGTTTGATTCAAAAAGGAAGAAGAAGAAGCCGATTGTCATCCCTCAAGTGGCACGAAGACCAACCTTCCCTGTCAAGGATGGTTCTTCTTTTGTCAAAGCCAACGATCCACCTAAGAAGGACAAGAAATATTTCAAAATGAGTGACATTGTTTGTTACAAGTGCGGAGGAAGGGGCCATTTTAAGAAGGATTGTCCAAATTCCAGAACTTTGACCATGCAAGAGGTAAAGCTTATTGCTAATCAAACTATCAATTGGGAGGATTTCGAGGTTGAAGAAGTGGAGGACGTGAATTCTAATGAAGGGGACGAGGAGGAAGAGCAATGTTTCCCTGAAGAAGAGACCAAAACAAATCTGGTTGTGAGAAGGGCGTTGCAAGCTCGTGTTGACGAACCCTTGGCACCGCAAAGGCAACATATTTTCATTACCAAGTGCAAGATTAAAGGCGAGGTATGTGATTTAATTGTTGATGGTGGTAGTGAGGCAAACACAGTTTCCAAAACCTTGATAGCTAGACTTGGTCTTACAACGACAAATCACCCACATCCTTATAAGTTGAGTTGGTTGGACTCTAATTCGAGTACGGGGGTTAGGAAACAATGCATAGTTAATTTTTCTATTGGGTCTTATCATGATACTCAACTGTGTGATGTTGTGTCTATGGATGCTTGTCACATTTTGCTTGGTAGACCTTGGCAAACTGATCGAAAATCTCAACATGATGGGTACCATAACATTTACACTATAACTCACCAAGGAAAAAAAAAAAAAATTGCACCCTTTACCACCCCCACGGTTTTCACAAAATCCTAAACAATCAAAGGAGGTGTCATTGCTTACCCTTAAGGAATTTGAAAAGGAAATTAATGGTGAGGAGGAATTATACTTGTTGTACTCTAAAGAGATCCACGAAAATTTTGTGAGTCAAAATCCTAAATTAGCTCAGTTGATTAAGGATTTTGAGGATGTTTTTCCCGATGAGTTACCGAAAGAGTTACCACCTTTGAGGGGAATTGAACATCAAATTGACCTCATTCCGGGTGCTCCTTTGCCTAACAAACCTGCCTATAGGTGTAATCCCTTGGAAACTAAGGAATTGCAACGACAAATTGAGGAGTTGATGAGTATGGGGTATGTACGTGAGTCTATGAGTCCGTGTGTTGTTCCTCCTCTTTTGGTCCCAAAAAAGGATGGTACATGGCGCATGTGTATTGATAGTAGGGCTGTTAACAATATTACTATCAAGTATAGGTTTCCAATTCCAAGACTAGATGACATGCTTGATGAACTGAGTGGTTCGAAGTGGTTTTCAAAAGTGGATTTGAGGAGTGGTTACCATCAAATTCGGATGAGGAAAGGAGATGAATGGAAGACCGCTTTCAAAACCAAGCACGGCTTGTATGAGTGGCTCGTGATGCCATTAGGACTCACCAACGCACCTAGCACTTTCATGAGGTTGATGAACGAGGTGTTGCGGCCTTTCCTAGGCAAATTCGTGGTGGTGTACCTTGATGATATCCTTATTTATAGCAAAGATGGGGATGAACATTTGATACATTTATTTAAAGTTTTTACGGTTTTGAGAGAACAAAAATTGTATGGAAAACTTGAAAAATGTAATTTTATGCTATATGAGGTCACTTTTCTTGGTTACATTGTTTCAGGAGAAGGTGTGAAAGTTGATCCTAGCAAGATTGAGGCTATTCAATCATGGCCTAGTCCAAAGACACTCACGGAGGTCCGTTCTTTCCATGGATTAGCTTCCTTTTATAGGAGGTTCATTCGTAATTTCAGCACTCTCATGACCCCTATCACCGAGTGCACAAAGAAGGGCTCATTTGAGTGGACTCCTCAAGCTCAAAAGGCATTTGAAGTGATCAAAGAAAAAATGTGCAATACACCCATCCTAGCACTTCCAGATTTTTCAAAGCCATTTGAAGTTGAGTGTGACGCAAGTGGAAAGGGGATTGGTGCCGTGTTGATTCAAGAAGGGCGTCCTATTGCTTACTTTAGTGAGAAATTGAGCCAAGGCAAGCTGAATTATTCCACCTATGATAAAGAGTTCTATGCAATGGTGCGAGCTTTGAATCATTGGTCGCATTACTTGAGACCACAACCATTCATACTTCATTCTGACCATGAATCTTTGAGGTTCATCCATGGCCAAAAGAAGTTGAATTCGAGACATGCAAAGTGGGTGGAATTCTTGCAAACATTTAACTTTTCATCAAAGTACAAGAGTGGAAAGGCAAATGTTGTTGCGGATGCCTTATCTCGAAGGCATACTTTACTTGGAGTCGTTGAGGCGAAAGTCCTTGGGTTCGAATGAATCAAAGAATACTACAAGGAAGATGATGACTTCAAGGTCATTTTGGAGAAATGCGTGAATGGTAGTTATGAATTATTTTCCTTACAAAATGATTTTCTTTTTAAGGGAAATAGGTTATGCATTCCCAAATGTCCAATTCGAAGCTTGTTGATTCATGAAGCGCATGGGGGAGGTTTGGCAGGCCATTTCGGAGTTCAAAAGACTATGGAGCTTCTTCAAGCTCACTTTTATTGGCCTAGTATGCTACCCACTGTGCACCGTGTTGTGGCACGTTGCTCTACTTGGCAAAGGGCAAAGATGGTGTTTCACAAAGGTCTTTACAAGCCATTGCCAATTCCGGAGGGACCTTGGGAAGACATAAGCATGGATTACATTGTGGCTTTACCTAGAACTCAAAGAGGTAAGGACTCAATCATGGTGGTAGTTGATCGTTTTTCAAAAATGGCTCACTTTGTCCCTTGTCATAAAACCGAAGATGCTGCGAAGGTGGCGAAATTATATTTTTATGGGGTTGTTCGTTTCCAAGGGATCCCACGCACCATTGTTTCAGATCGAGATACAAAGTTCCAAAGTCATTTTTGGAAGTCCTTGTGGCGTCTTATGGGAACCAAGTTGCTGTTTTCTACCTCACATCACCCCCAAACCGATGGTCAAACCGAGGTGGTAAATAGGGTACTAGGTTCTTTGCTTAGGACCTTGGTTAGTAAAAGCACCAAAGATTGGGATGTCAAACTCGCTCATGCCGAGTTTGCTTACAATAGAACTCCTAGCACTACTACGAAGTATTCTCCTTTTGAAGTAGTCTATGGTTCTAATCCTTATGTTCCAATTGATCTCATAGCATTGCCTCGAGACAAGTTCGTGCATGGAGGTGCCAAGGAACAAGCCGAGTTCATGGTGAAAATTCACAAGGAAGTAAGGAAGAACATCGAGAAGGCTAATGAAATCTATAAGAAGCAAGCCAACAAGAGAGTCAAAAACGTGAGAAGTTTTGAAGTTGGTGACTTAGTGTGGATCTACATGAGGAAGGAAAGGTTTCCCAATCAAAGGAAGAACAAACTCATGCCACGAGCCGAAGGCCCATTTGAGATAGTGGAAAAGATCAATGACAATGCCTACAAGGTAGATTTAGGAGGAAAGTATGGCGTCTCAAGCACATTCAATGTGGGGGATCTAGCACCGTACTATAATGATGAAGAATTGATGGAAATTCCCTTTGAAGAAGGAGAGGATGACCAAAGTGGCCAAGGTTCGGATATTCCAGTCCAAGAGTAGAACGTTAGGGAATTGATTTTGTCCAAGACTTTCTTCGATGCTGCTCCTATGGATTTTGGTGTGCATGGTCCATATAATTCCTCAACTGGCTGCACCATATTGAGCGTGACTAATTACCTCAATAATGGGGGAATGTAGGCTGATTTAATGCATACTTTAAGGAGAGTTTCAAGCTGGTTTAACTTCGTAATAAAGGAACTTGAATGAAGGCTTAAATGGGAGGTTACAAAGGCGCATTTCAAGGCTGCTTTGGAGGACGAATTTGGACAGCATGATTGGAGTCAATTTGCTGAACGTTTGGGAGTTATTCTTCCCTTGTTTTAAGCTTTCTTAATTAGAGTAATAATTAGTTGTAATGGGGATTAAGTTGGACGGTTATGAGCCACTTAATCTACCCTTATCTTCAGTTTTGTTATTTCTGATTTGTTGCTTTTTTTAGCTAAGTGTAGTGGCAACTAAATGATGTACTAAAGCTATAAATAGCATGCTAATGATCAATAAAAAGATGGTCCAGAAACCTGCAATAAACACACGAGTGTATTATCCAAATTTGACTTGAGCTAGTTAGGTTTGATTTTCCAAACTTGAGAGTTATCTCAATTTGAAGAGTTTGTGATTTAGTGAGAGTTCCTAAGATTTAAACTGGTAGTTTTCGAATAGGTGAGAGTTCCCTAATCACTACTACGCCCAAACAAGTGAGTGAGTGTTCCTCATTGTTATATCCTCAAGGTTAAGGGTGAGAGTTCCCCTAATCCTTCTTAGTTACTCTACATTGATACTTCTAATTCAACTAAACACAACACGCATTCCAGTTCGTTTGTAAACAAGTTTCTCACCTTGCTTACACATCATTTGTTCAATTAGCTTTTTAGAATGCATTTAACTTTCATTTGATTCAAAAAGCTTGGTTTGAATGTGTTTGACTTTCATTTGGTTCAATTAGCTTTGTAGAATGCATTTGACTTTCATTTAATTCAATTAGCTTTGTTGAATGTATTTGACTTTCATATCATTCGAAAAACTTTGGTTGAATGTGTTTGAATTCATTTGATTCAATTAGCCTTGTAGATTGCATTTGACTTTCATTTGATTCAATTAGCTTTGTTGAAAGCATTTGACTTTCATTTGATTCAAAAAGCTATGTTTAAATGTGTTTGACTTTCATTTGTTTCAATTAGCTTTGTAGAATGTGTTTGACTTTCATTTGGTTTAATTAGCTTATTTTAATGCATTTGACTTTCATTTGATTCAAAGAGCTATGTTTGAATGTGTTTGGCTTTCATTTGATTCAATTAGCCTTTTAGAATGCATTTGAATTTCATTTGATTCAATAAGCTTTGTTGAATGCATTTGACCTTCATTTGATTCAAAAAGCTTTGTTTGAATGTGTTTCACTTTCATTTGATTCAATTAGCTTTGTTTGATCGTGTTAAATTTTCTTTTGATTCAATTACCTTTGAATAATGCATTTGACTTTCATTTGATTCAATTAGCTTTGTTGAATGAATTTGACTTTCATTTGATTCAAAAAGCTTTGATTGAATGTGTTTCACTTTCGATTGATTCAATTACCTTTGTAGAATGCATTTGAGTTTTATTTGATTCAATTAGCTTTGTTAAAAGCATTTGACTTTCATTTGATTCAAAAAGCTTTCTTTGAATGTGTTTGACTCTCATTTGATTCAATTAGCTTTTTAGAATGCATTTATTTTTCATTTGATTCAAAAAGCTTTGTTTGAATGTGTTTGACTTTCATTTGATTCAATTAGCTTTGTAGAATGCATTTGACTTTCATTTAATTCAATTAGCTTTGTTGAATGTATTTGGATTTCATATCATTCGAAAAACATTGGTTGAATGTGTTTGAATTCATTTGATTCAATTAGCCTTGTAGATTGCATTTGACTTTCATTTGATTTAATTAGCTTTGTTGAAAGCATTTGACTTTCATTTGATTCAAAAAGCTATGTTTGAATGTGTTTGACTTTCATTTGATTCAATTATCTTTGTAGAATGTGTTTGACTTTCATTTGATTCAATTACCTTATTTGAATGCATTTGACTTTCATTTGATTCGAAAAGCTATGTTTGAATGTGTTTCACTTTCATTTGATTCAATTAGCTTTGTAGAATGCATTTGACTTATATTTGATTCAATTAGCTTTGTTGAATGCATTTGACTTTCATTTGTTTCAAAAAGCTTTTTTTGAATGTGTTTGACTTTCATTTGATTCAATTAGCTTTGTAGAATGCATTTGACTTTTGTTTGATTCAATTAGATTCGTTGAATGCATTTTACTTTCATTTGATTCAAAAAGCTTTGTTTGAATATGTTTGACTTTCATTTGATTCAGTTAGCTTTGTTTGATCGTGTTTAAGTTTCTTTTGATTCAATTCGCTTTGTAGAATGCATTTGACTTTCATTTGATTCAATTAGCTTTATTGAATGTATTTGACTTTCACTTGATTCAAAAAACTTTGATTGAATGTGTTTGACTTTCATTTGATTCACTTAGCTTTTTAAAATGCATTTGACTTTTATTTGATTCAATTAGCTTTGTAGAATGCATTTAACTTTCATTTGTATCAAAAAGCTTTGTTTGAATGTGTTTGACTTTCATCTGATTCAATTAGCTTCGTAGAATGCATTAGACTTTTGTTTGATTCAATTAGCTTTGTTTGAATGTGTTTGACTTTCATTTGATTCAATTTTTGTAGATTTCATTTGACTTTCATTTGATTCAATTAGCTTTTTTGAATGCATTTGACTTTCATTTGATTTTAAAAGCTTTGTTTGAATGTGTTTGACTTTCATTTGATTCAATTAGCTTTGTTTGATCGTGTTAAATTTTCTTTTGATTCAATTACCTTTGAATAATGCATTTGACTTTCATTTGATTCAATTAGCTTTGTTGAATGAATTTTACTTTCATTTGATTCAAAAAGCTTTGATTGAATGTGTTTCACTTTCGATTGATTCAATTACCTTTGTAGAATGCATTTGAGTTTTATTTGATTCAATTAGCTTTGTTAAAAGCATTTGACTTTCATTTGATTCAAAAAGCTTTCTTT